AATGTGCGAAAATCCGCATATTCCGAGAGGAGTCGAGCTATCCTTTTTGGTAATGCCATTTGTAGCCACAGAAGTTTAGTCGTACACATTAATCAGATTGAATTTTGTGAAAAAATGTCATGCTTTTCAAGTTTTTATCAGGTGAGGATTTCGTATTGAGTCAACGATGATCACCACTTGAATGTTATTTATTGTCCTGTCTTTTTTAGGGACCATGAACAATGTAAATCCTCACCAGCTATTTCAACGCCGGATAACTCCTAAATCTATCATATTATCGTACTTGTTTTTAAACACTCAGTAGCTAGTCGGCACGCCCTTGAAAATGCAGGCCGTATCCTAGTTGCAATATGATGTGCAACTGTGCTGGTTGCCTACAGTTATTTCGGTCGTGTTCTGTTCATAAGACCTGTCGTGTATCACTTGGAAGCATGGATCGATTATAAGATTAATCATCACCAAGCACAGTCAAATGATAAAGAAATGAATTTGTTCAATTAGATGATTTAATATTTCTGTCTACTAACCTCTTCTTGCATGAATATGTGGCGACCTACTTTCCACGACGAGAACGCGATTGATGTAGTGGAAACAATGATTATTACAACCAATTGTAACACTGAGTGTTTTACTGTATTGTTTGTGTAACTGTATCGAAAGCACTTTTCGTTCCGTTGTCCATCTTTTTCGAGCGAACTCTCTTACGCTCTGCCATTTTGCCTATACTCTTTGGCACGTCTCGGTATTCTTTCGATACCACGAGATAAATATACCTTATCTAGACCTTCTGGTTTTCAGCCTATCGAGGGATCCAGGTCGTTATCCGGCGCGTAATCTTATTGTTGTGGTGATCATAGTCAATCGCAACTCGACGCCATCTGCAATGGAACGAGCAGGTTATGGTATAATAGTAGATCTGTGCATCGACACGTCTAAAGTAGCGAGAGTTCAGTTAATTAGTCTTCACATGCCCACGTCATGGTAAATGTACCGAAACGGCCAACTCGCACACAGCGTTATTTTTCGGAATGAAACTGGAACCGCTGTAACCTATTGATGAAGTCAGACAAAAAGTGTTTCATGAAAAAGACTTCATTTAACTTTTGCTGGTCGATGATCACTGTTATACGTTATGGCTGTTCTCTAGCTGAGGCGTGTTGAAACTCGACATTTTACAGTGACTGATCCAACCTTTTTCAACCACTCAGTTCCCCTCCCTTTAAAATGCCTTTTTTCAGAATCATAAGGCCTTGAAACTAGATGTACCTTACCAGTTAAATTACTGTGGCAGTTCCTTCATTATTTCGAGGACCTGATCTCGTCACTTTATGCTCTTGGAAGTCAGCTTATGCAAAGCAGAGTCAAGCTCGGATGTTCTTGGATGGAATGGGGTTACTGAGAAGGTGGATGTGTGAGAGTCTTGATGGTGACACGTCTGGTCACTTAAATTTCACTGAGGTTTGGCCAAAATCATTTGGCAGCCGTGTCACGAAGTACCGTAGTGTTCGCTGATCATCTTCAAGGTCAGGAAAAACGAACGTGTTTAATACAAAACTAAATAGTTCTTCTGTGAAATGTGACAACGATACATTACATATGAAGTCTATGCTTCATTTGCAAATCTTCCATCAACTGTCTTTAACATCCTTCACGATTCTTACAATTCTCTGTTCCTTTCTATTTCCCTTGCCGGTTTCCTCAGTCCAGTCGATATAAGTAGCATGCACCACAGTAGTAACTGGATACCATGAAAGGGTTACCCATGTTATGTACTAACCGTGGGCTGCGACTATGATGTTAGTTTGTTGGTTGCACTATCAAGGTCTAACCCGAGAATCCCTTATTCACTCGATGCTGACCGTATACGTTGGTGATCTATATATCTATGTATGAGATGAAAATCTGGGAACACAAAATATTATCATGATATATTAGAAAACAATTGTTTAATGTGATAAAGAGGAAGTGGCTCACAACTTGTTCTTTTTTGCATGAGAATAGTTCAAGGCTGACTACAAATATTCCAACCAGTTCGTCACACCGTGTCTTCATTATCTTATTGGTCATCGGAGAAAATAATAATGTGTCTGCAGGTGAAAGTGGTCAATTGCCTCAAGGAATGTAGCTTATTTAAACTGAAACCTATTTTATTCTTTTACAGATATTTGAACTGCACCTATTTAAAAAGGACAATGATATTTTTCCTCGCTACGTAAATTCTATTGTTTTGATCTTTAAGAACGTATCAGAACAACTATTTATACTTTGATGGAATTTTGTTCAGTCGGAAAATTAGATTACAGTATCACTTTCGGTTTCTAAAGCAGTTTATCATCGGTACTTTAGAGTACTTTGTTTTTCTATCGTGTCTGTTAGTACTTTGGTCCTAACTATTTACAGTTTTCCACTTTTTTGGTCAAAGATCACTTTTTCTCCAGGTATTATTGTGTCTAGTTCTTTTCTTTAAAAAGACCTCAAATGACTGAAAAGTGCAATGAAAGCAATTGCTAGATTCCGGGCTGTCAATATCCCGTTGACAGCGGCATGCAGTGCGACGAGTGCAAAGGCTGGTACCACGGAGTCTGCACAAATCTAACGCCTGCAGCTTAAACGTTTCAGTAAGAATGGTTGCGTTTGGCTCTGTCAGCAGTGCTGCCTGGATGCAAACAGCTTGTTAACTGAGGCCATATCAATGGTCAATGCTGAGAAATAGTGTCTTGTCAAGCGCGGTCGCGACACGTCGGACAGCACTCCATCTGTCGACACGCAGGCAAGCACAGGTGAGTTCCAAAAGTGCTGACTCACATCGTTCAAAAGAGGGAGGACAGCCTCCAAAGAAGTCTGTCCCAACCAAAAACTCGAGAAAAGAGTTTTCTTCTGTCTCCCGTCTTTAAAATGGTATCCAGCAGGAAACTTTCAGAAACTGAAATGGGAGGGCTCGGTCGGTTTACAGTGCGAAACATGACCCGACCTCCCAAGTCGTCGACAACCCTCAGGAATCCCATAGTATGCCTGACGCGACTGTGGCCGCTACTCCAAACAACGTCGACGATTGGGTACAGGTCGTAAGCAAAAAGAACAAAACGACGTAAAATGGAATCCTGTCCCCATCAAAGTAGTCGAGAAATCGAAGACTGATCACAGCGACAGATCAGTTATTTTTCATAGAATCATGGACAATAAAAGCTCTGAACCGAAAGCTCGTTTTGAGCATGATATTGTGTTGATAAAACAGCTACTCAATCACGTTATGCCCCAAATATCTCTGGAGTCACCTTGCTAAATGTGTATAGACTAGGCAGCCTGGCGAATTTTAAACTTAATCAATCCAGACTGCTTAAAGCAGTATTCAAATCTCCAAATGTACGCGACTTAATTTTACAAAATTGACATACATTAAAGGGTTCAGGAGTTTCCCTCCGTAAGGACTTACCGCTGGTGGACAGTGTAAAAAGACGGGAAGCCGAAAAACAACTACAGCTCAGATTAGACGCTGGGGAAAAAGACCTAAAATTTGTAAATTTTTGGGTTTTGAAGCTTCAACAGAGAATGCTGCAGAAGCCACTCTTGGTGAAATACGAGGCCACTTAAATAGGCTGGAAGACTAGAAGAACGCCATAGTAACCCTGTCTTCGAAACAGGTACAAAACATAAGCCTGAGAATTGCCGACCCATTAGCCTAACTAGTGTGGTTGTTAAAATCTTAGATAAGATTATTTGGAAGGAGCTGTTTAAGTACTTCGATGAAAACCAGATCCTCTCGGAGAAGCAGCATGCTTTGAGAACAGGTTATTCTTGTCTGACAAACTTATTAGTCGCTCGTCAAGGCTGGTGCGCTCTTAAGGACCAAAAGTTACCTGTAGACGTAGCCTACATCGACTTCAGCAAAGCTTTCGGCAAAGTTCCGCACAACCGGCTGTTATATAAGCTAAGGAATGTCGGGATTAGAGGCAATCTATTGACGTGGATAAAAGACTTCCTAGTTGGGCGTCAACAAAGAGTAAGGGTGAACTCCAAGTTGTCTAGCTGGGAAATTGTGCTTAGTGGAGTCCCCCAGGGTACAGATTTGGGGCCAGTGTTATTCCTCCTGTACGTAAATGACCTCCCTCGTCTACTATCGTCATTGGTCTTGCTCTATGCTGACGATGTCAAAATATGGAGAGCGATACAAAGTAAGGGTGATGGCTTAGAACTCCGAAATGACCTGGAGAAATTATCTGAATGGTCCCAAACCTGGCAATTGCCGATAAATACTTCCAAGTGTAATGTGATGCTTATTGGTCATCAAGGTACAGATACATACACGATGAATATCACTTAGTTACCTAATAACCAGACATAAAACGACTCAGAAGTCATCATTAGCCAAGAATTAAAAACTACTGCACATTGCCATGCAGCAGCAATACGTAGGGCTTTTAGTCATCTCGACGCGAAAACATTTCTGACTTTGTATACAGTGTTCGTGCGTCCTAAACTTGAGTACTGCATACAAGCAGCTAACCCCTGCCTAAAATAAGACAGTGAACTCTTGGAAAGGGTTCAGATAACAGCAACTAAGCTGATTCCCGGAATAGAGAAGCTCATGTGTGGTACTAACTGACCAAGCTAAACCTATTCCCGCTGTCATATCGAAGAATCAGAGGCGACTTGATTACAGTTTTCAAATTGCTTAGTGATAAATTAGCACCTGATATGCCCTCATTTTTCTTGTCTTCCAAAACAGAAAATTGACGAGGACACTCCAAAAAAGTTCACAAGCCCAGAACGGATTACTTGTCAACTGACTACCGACTTTCCCATCGAATCATCAAAGAGTGAAATTCATTACCTGAGCACGTAGTTGAGGCTCCATCCGTCGATTCTTTCAAAAGAAAGCTGGATCAGCTGAGAGACCATCACTATCAGTACTAACACAGGCCATTAAGCCTCCTGTTCTTTCCAAAGTGAAACTGAAACTGAAACCTGGAAAGTTGTGAAATTTCTAAGGAGCGGACTTCACAAATTAGTGAGTTACTTAGAATCAAAAGTAACTGTTGAGGCATAGTTAGTGTGGTTATGAAGTGACCAATATACATATCTACTGACCACGCCATTTTTAAGAACATTCATAGTTTTTTTGAAAAGTCTTGTTTTTATAAGGATCACTGATATCTTTTTGAGATTTATACAGTGTCAAGCAACCAATAATCGGGGAACACTCCAGAATGCCTGCTTTTTGTCTGTCAGGGAAAAAGATACAGATTTCTACTTCTTTTCTTATGTGTGGCACGTGCTACACGCAGTGTAAATAATTTGCATGAAATTTTCTGCCTTTTATATGTCGAACATTATCATCCTTGGTTATATACCCAAGCTGACTGACTGACTGATATACCCAAGCGAAAACGGAAAAAAACATATTGTGAAGGAAACAGTAATGGTAAATTCCATTTTGTTGATAAAAAATTACGAAAAAGTTTGAAACGCAGTATTTCATTCTTCCGTTCACCGTGTCTACTTTATCTCAAGTATACAAATTTAAGAAAATAGATGAAATCTGTTTAAGGACTACCAGTTTATAAGTTAGTTTGAGAATTTAAACATTCTAGTTATGTAGTATGCATTTTTTGCAATAAAAGTTGATAAAAGAAAACCAACGAAATCAATAGAAAGACGATAAAAATTAGGAAGTCCTCATTTATATTTCTGGCACATGAATTTCCTTAAAAAGAAGGTTCTTGTGATACGAATTGTGTCGGTTCATGGGAGAGCGTCTTAATATGCAGCATCAAGATGCCCAAACGTGTTACTCATTTTTGCAACCTTATGTCACGATAATTTTCTACTGAATTAAATCGCACGTTTTTTTCCTACACTATGTTTAACTGGTTGAGGAAGCGAATTATGTGAAGTTTAATACATCAGTTTGACAATCCGAGATAACAGTGATGCATTCGCGAAGAATCGATGCATATATGGTCTCATTAGCTTACTATGGAACATCGAGATATTACAACTTTGAACTATAAAGCCTGCCAGTGGAATAGTTATCTGGCAATTGAAAAGTACAGAATCTTAGATCATCAGGTGTCTTCATATTACATACATAAAGCGTATAATGTAGACTTGATTTAATAGAGCAACACAATTGTCTTAATGAATATTTAAGTTTAACAAAATAAATAAAAAATTTTCCGTTCGGTCGATCGGGTAACTTCAGACGACTGTAGCGAATACTTACGGTTGACAACTGCTTGTCGGACTGATTGCTTCATGTAGTGGGGAACCTAGCATTATGGGGACGCGGGATTTGTTATATACAGTCCAGTCCATCCAAGTGAATCCCACATAGATTCCCATTTTTACATCATCAACTATCAGTGCCAACTTCAAGTTACAGAATGACGTCAAAATTAAAAACTGACTCAGATATTACATCTTTTTTTACTGAAATATTGCTAATTGACTGCTTAGCAAGCTTTGATGTTGCTATTTCATTAAATTTTATTCCGAGGTTGAAAACTATTTGCCGTTGTCCCATTACATTTTTAAAATTTTAGTTAATAGGCGTACTTTACAGGTCCATTTTCTTTTTAACGTATGTTGTAAGGGAATAATGCAAGATCTAGGTAGATGAAAATTTATTCTGCTCTCGGTACTGTATCTAAAATAGCTGGTCAATACACTTATTTTTTTACTTAATGATAATACAGACAGTTCTCGTTAAAGTGTACCATCGGCTTCATAATTCATTTTCATATTGTTTGTTTGAATCCTCCTTTTGATGTTTAGGACTGAAGTTAATCAGTCTCATTGGTATACGTGCATTCATTGCGGATTGCATCGATATCACTTCAAGTCACAAGCATTATGATCAAAGATTAATGGTGGCTGGCAGTGGAATTCAGGGTATGCGTTTTGTCCTATCTGGGACTAGGTGGAGGTGATTCGCACAGGTGCCAACAAAGGACTGATCAGTTACAGTCGTAAACATCAATGGGAAGTTTCAGACAAACAATACAAAATGGATTCATATTAGGCCTGATTATTTATTATTTATTAAAGTCCAAGCCTCAGTCCTTTTTATTTAATTTAAGTCTATAAGTTAATTCCATTCTTCAGCTAAAATTTTACAAAAGAAAAGCACCCATCGCATCATGAAAACAAGCATATGGTTTAAGAAGACCATGGAAACAAATAAATAAACCTGTTTGGATCAATAGTTGAACAATTTGGTAGCACACAGAATGAGTATGATAATTACATCATTACCTGTAAAATTCTGTATAAAATTTTACTAAACACTCAAAAAATCTGTCCAATAAACCGTATTCTAGTTTTCATTTAATTTTATTAGTTAAAAGTTTTAGAAGTCGTTCATATTTAGGACTTTTAATGCAGGTAAACTACAACTGATGTTTTCCACACGTCCAATGATCACGTCGATGTTGAAAGTTAAATTGCCTAGACTAGCCCCTTCTTTCTGTATCTATCAATTCAACTGCTCGTCTGGGGCAAGTTATTATAGGCAGATGTTCTAGGAATTTGTATATTCGCGCTCCTGAGAACCTCCCAGTGTGGTTAAGCAAAGTTGTAGTCAAAACGGTTAACAGCTCCATTTTAGCCCATTTAGTTCAGACGGGGCATAGAGCCAACATGTAGCAATCTTTCACAATAATATATCGTGTTAACAACAGTCTACCCAATTCCATCAGACTGAGAATCCTGCAGATGGCTGAGGTAATTGCTATTCGGATCAAAAAGCCAGAGCTTTGCATACTTTTACCCTGATCAACTTGTTAATAATCAATTTTGTAACATGATGACGTTAATTTAATTAATGTTCATTTTATATCCTAAACTTATTTTATCTACACATCTTACCCGTCATTATTATTATTATTGTCACACTTACTAAATTTTAGAGAAATTTATTCAGCATCCACCCCTATCTACTATATCTGACCTAATTAATATTATTCTACATATTACGCAGTGTCTGATTTGTAATCCCATTGTTCTATTTCATCCGATGTCAACTATACTTATCTTGATCATTTATCTTATGATTTTATTTCACTTATAAACTGATTCAAGCTAATACTTCATATTAGTCAGCTCCAACATTAACGATTCAATTTTATTTTATATTACAAACATTCCTTGATTCACATGTTACAGCTTTTAAATGATGTACTCTGCCTTAAACTTGGCCAATTTTTATGGATTATTAATTTGGATTTATACTTGTAGAACCTGATGAGAAATTCTTGAAAAGAATATTCTTCGTTCCTATAATCGTGTTTTAATATGATGGGAATTTTTCAGCGATTATAATTTTATGTAACTTTTAAGAAGAGAGGATTAATATGTGAAGTCTAAATTTTTATGTTTCAAAGGTCAACAAAGAAGTTTCGGGAGGCTTTTACGTTCACCATAAAACTTTTTTGAGTTTATATATCAAACTCTAATGTGCAACAAACAACTGAGAATAGAACCTGTGTTTCTGCTGTCATGTGGGTCTTTTAATCCAATTACTATAATGCACATGCGAATGATGGGTAAGTCATCTTACCTTAGTGCAAAAGTATTCTATAATGGTTTACTACCTATGTAAGGAAAGGCCTTATCGATAAGGACTTTAGAGAGATTGAGTTAATAAAATTAATGCGGCATTAATCTTTTACTGCACATTACCTAAATGACTACTCAGAACTAATAACGTCTCATTTTCATTTCCGTCACTGCATTCTATGTTTGTTTATTGTGGTAATACGGGGTATGGATAACAAAATAGAAAGAATATATTTGGAAAATCTCAGCGAACAAATTTGAAGTAAATCCAACGTTTCGCATGGCAATCTGGTCCAAGCTTTTTCAAGGAATTATAATCAAACATCAAAATTATCGAATATAAATAGGTACATGGTTCTTCGGTTCATTGTACACTAAATAGGTCATCCAACCAATGTTAAAAATGTTTAAACTAGGTATATGTATTAGTGTGTAAGAGACTTCTGATGTGAAACGATGTGTTGAGATAACATATTGTAAATATACGTAAGTGGTGAGAGTAGAAAATTCATTCACAATATATTGTCTGTCGGTGAATTTTTAAGAAAACATACAATTTTTAATATATGGTATAAATCATATATGTAACAGCATGTATAAAATAAAGATAAATAAAATAACAAAATAAATTCGAGAAGGAGGAATGTAATTTGAAACTGAATATTTGTGTTATTTTAATGTTCTAATTAACTGTTTAACAAATTCCGATAAGACAACTAATTAGAATCATTGTAATTGTTGTCACTCAGATAATACGAGATAGATAAAACGGAAAGGAGTTCAGGTTTTTACTTATTAATGATTAGCTGCCATAACACAGCTAATTTCTCCTCTCACCACTTGCGTATATTTACAATATGTTATCTTAACACATTGTTTCACATCACAAGTCTCTTACACACTAATACATATACCTAGTTTAAACATTTTTAACATTGGTTGGATGACCTATTTATTGTACAATGAACCGAAGAACCATGTACCTATTTATATTCGATAATTTTGATGTTTGATTATAATTCCTTGAAAAAGCTTGTACCAGATTGCCAGGCGAAACGTTGGATTTACTTCAAATTTGTTCGCTGAGATTTTCCAAATATATTCTTCCTATTTAATGTCTTACATCAACTCGGCGCCCAGATACTGTGAAACGATTCGCTCTAATTTAGACGAGGGTCCTTATATAACTGAGCATGAGTTTGGATAATTTTCAGCTATTTGAAATAAAACATTACATCCTCAGTACAAAAGTTTAACCTGTCAAACCCGAAAAATAAATTATCCCGGTCATGGATTTTCAATAATTTTGTGCCAAACCTGACTGTGCTTTTAAAACTATTGCAATGTATCGCTCTCTTGTCAGTAAATGATGTGTTGAATTGGCCACAAGTGTCGAAAGATCAGTTATCAGTCTTTGAGGCTTTGAAGGTATAATTTGAAACAATCGTTTCAGTTTTGTTTCAAACAAATATACATGTGTAATCAAAAAGAAAGCATACCGTCGCAGTTGAATTTTATTCAAATGACTTGGCACGAAATTACATTGTGCATACGGAACTTGGTAAATACAATGTAAGTGGAGATATTTCAGGTTGTTAAGTTATATGATATTAAAGTATTATAGACGAAAATCAAAATTTCGAAGATGGAATAATGTCACCCATAATCTGTGTAGGGTGTAATTGACAATAGGATATATGGTTGCTCTTTTACCTGCTCACGATCGTAGAAAAATACTTTTATAGCTTAACCTCTGAAAAATAAATATTGATAATCTCAATAAAGGAAATGGTTTCGAAGTGATGAATAAAAAACTAACTTACAGGAAATAGTTTTGAAAATTGTGATATATATTCTGTATCCTTCGGAAAAGTCTATTGTGACATTTATATTCGGTGATTTTTGTAACAACAAAATAAAGATCACATATTTTTTCCTTATTTGTCACACTTTATATGCAACCAAATTTATATTCACTATCTATTGTTTCTCTGTATCAATGATAAAGAAACGAATATATTTGTTTGGTTATATCTAACATACATTGCACAACCGCGGTTCTTAAAATGTAAACGCTCTCTCCGCCGTCCATTCTTCTGCTTCATTGGCCACGGCTCTTGATTGAAGATTACAATAGTATTATAGCATCCTTTTAGGCCTTCCCGCACAACTTTGGCCCGGATCATTATTAAATAATACTATAGGATTTAATCTTCTTCATTTTGCCGTTCGTGCCATCACGTGCAGAGAGACTTTTGTTAATCAAGTGAACTTATTTGTGGGTGTTATCTCAGAGAGCAGCTTACAAGTAACATTCATTTCGCATTTGGTCTCCAGGATCCCGTAGGAACAAATGGCCTTTGGACCAATAGTTGGTCACCGACTACCATGGGACTGCATCTTGTCATGTTTCTCCACAGCCTTGTGGGTCAGACATTTCGATCGATAGTTCGGGGTGTGGTCCCCTAAGGAAACCACCTGCTTCGGTCTGGGCACCCGGGCAGTATCACAATTCTTACACAAATAAAATGGAATGACGATATTTACTGAAAATATTATTCACGCCCCGACTAAAAGTCAATTAATCCACGTTATTATTATTTACCACGCCACTTATTTACTCTCTTTTATTCCCACTCTGTGTATCCTTATTTTTCAAGTTGTATAGCAGTTCGCTTATGGTGAAAACTGTGTTCTATTCTAACGATCTCGACTCATTAACTGGTCGAAAATTGAATATTACCACCGAATACGAACATTAAAACAGTCTTTCTGAAACCACATGCACCATTCAAACTGGCTTACTTCAACGTTTGCGCACCAATATGGTTCGGACAACAGATAGGGCCGGCTATGTCTTTAGAAAGTCTTAATATCAACGTTTACTGTCTATCCAAAACCCGTATTCAAGACTCTGGTGAAGTACTACAAATTCGCTCTCAATCTCTCGCTTCAAAGAGGCTTGTTTTACGTGCGTTTGTCCAGGGACCCTGTGGTATCTCCGTCTGGTCTTACTGGCGTTGGTGTCGCACTAAGCGCTAGAACTGAGGTAGCACTAATCGATTGGATCCCCATTAACAGTCGGTTATGTGCTGTTAGATTAGAAGGCTCCATCAAAGTGAGAAGAAATTGGCGTGAAAAACGATGTCTTTTTGTCATCTCCACCTATGTTCCGACAGATTACAGCCCGGATGCAATCAAGGATGAATTCTCCCACCAGTTAACTGTTCTTCTCCAGAAAGTGCGTTCGACAGATATTGTAGTACTAGCCGGAGACTTGAATGCACAGGTTGAGCGTCTAGACACAGAAGAGTCGTTTAGATGGCCGATGTAGACTTGCTGGTCTCAGGTTAGATAACTGTGACAGTTTACTGCAAATGTGCTCAGACCACAACCAGTTTCTAGCTAGCACTGCCGACACAGTCATCGCCGATGTGCCACCTGGCGTCCTCCCTCTACATCTCGATCCTGGACTCAGATTGACCATATCGCAATCAGCTGTCGCTAGCGTGGTTTTGTGCAAGACTGCCACTCTTTTTGGAGCACCTATCTGGACTGTGATGATGCTCTGATCTGCATCAATCTTGCCTTACTTTTTAGTGGCCAACGAATTGATCGTCATCAACGGATTGATGTCAGCGAATTAGTTGCAACTTCTGCTGCAAGTAAGTATCGAACCGAGCTAGCTTCTAGGCTAGCTACCATCCTACCGAAAAGTATAGATTAGCATTGGTTGCATCTGTATGACGCCATGAAAATGGCGAGTAAAGTCGCTTGCGGCTTTACGAGACGTTCCGCTTATAAGCACTGGGTTTCTTCTGGCTCCTTACAACTGATCGAAGCTCGTCGGTCTACTCCGGGTGACCGTGAGTTTGACCATTAACGAAGGCTGTTACGAAATGAAATTAGGCAAAGCTTACGTAAAGACTGAGAAGCCTGATGGTTGGAGCGTGTCAATGAGTTGGAAGCAACAGCTGCATCTGGTAACTGCCGGAAGCTCCTTCAACTCATCCGAGCCACTGGCAGCAAGAAGTCTGATGTGAGCGAAACAATCTATGAGAATGATGGGATGCCAATCACTAACATCCATCGACGTCTTCGACGATGGGCAGAATTATTTGAAGGGCATTTCAACTGGCCTGCCGCTCCGGAAACATCGGCCAAACTGTTCTGTCCTCAATGGCCGGTGACAACTGCTCCACCAAATGAGGCGGAAGTGTGTAAGGAGCTCCAACTCTTAAAGCGCTATAAATCATCGGGCCCAGATGATCTACCTCCAGTTCTTTTTACAAATGGTGGTGACTTTCTGGTTAAGGGACTGACTACGTAGTTTACAAAGGTTTGGGAGCTAGAGAGCGTTCCAACGTCATGGAATGAGTCGATAGTTGTCCCTATCTTTAAAAAGGGTTCACGTCATTCCTGTAACAGCTATCGGGGGATAAGTCTACTTCCGATTGCGTTCAAACTATTGGCTTCTGTCATACTTCGTAGATTGTTTAAAACCCGAGAAAGATTGACTCGCAAGGAGCAGGCTGGTTTTCGTTCAGGTCGAGGATGCATTGATCATATCTTCACCCTCTGCCAAATGTTAGAACACTATCATACTTATCACAGGTCAACAATCGTAGTGTTTCTTGACATAAGGGCTGACTTCAATTCGTTGAATAGAACTGTTCTCTGAGATTGTCTATTGAACAAGGGTGTGCCTGAGAAGTTTATTAACATCTTGAAAGCCCTATATACAAACACCTCAGACAGAGTGATGGCATACAACGACCTCTCTCCATTGTTCTATTCAGGTAGTGGGGTTAGACATAGTTGCCCAATCTAACCATTCCTCTTCAACTTTGCTATCGATGACGTTCTGGAAGCAGCTCTGATGAATGTAAGTGATGGCGGTGTCAATCTACTGCCTGGAGAAAGAATTCTCGACCTTGAGTATGCGGATGATATTGTCTTATTGTGCGATAATGTCCAAGCCATGCAGTCCGCACTTAGTCAGTTGGCAAATAGTGTCCATAAGTATGACACGTGCTTTGCACCTTCGAAGTGCAAAGTACTTCGACAAGACTGACAGGATTCCAATCCTGTACTCACCCTCGGTGGTGAGTAGATTGAAGTAGTCAAGAAGTTCGTGTATCTAGGTAGCTGTGCTGGTGGTGGCATGAGTGATTAGATCGATTCTCATATAATGAAAGCCATAGCGGCTTATGTCATTCTGGGCCAACTTTTTTGTCTCCATCATGTTAGTCTGACTGTAAAAGTTCGAATTTACAACGTGTCGGAGAGAACAGTTTTGCTGTATGCTTGTGAAACCTGTTCCTGTTTGGTGAAGACGTTGATAAAATGCAATCTTCTGTTGGCACTGAGTAACAATGCCAGGATATTCGGAATGCATTTCTTACCCTCTAAATGCAAGTTGTTGCTCCAGGACTGGCCTGCGTCAACACCTGAACTAAAGATAGGGAGTGAAGTAGTCGAACGCGTCGACAACTTCACTTATCTTGGAAGTCTAATCAGCCCTAATGAGTTGGTGTCTGACGAAATCTCTGTACAGATTCAGAAAGCTTTTTTGGCTTTTGCCAACTTACGTCACCTATGGTGTAGGCGAGATATCCGTCTATCAATTAAGGGACGAGTATACTGTGCAGCAGTTCGCTCTGTTTTACTTTACGGCTGCGAAGCGTGACAATTAGGAGTAGAAGATACTCGTAAGTTGCTAATATTTGGCCACAGATGTCTCAGAAATATTGCTCACATCTGCTGGGATCACCGGGTAAGTAGTAGTGAGGTTAGACACAGGATTTTAGGGGATGATGGCAAATCAGTTGATGAGGTCATGGATCTTCACCGAGATGGTTGGGCCACGTGTTACGTATATCTGAACACCGATTACCACGACGTACAATGCTGACTAGTGTTGGGGATAGTTGGAAGAGAGTTAGGGTCGACCAAACCAAAACGTGTCACCAGTCCTTGAAGTCACTAACTTCTCGTTTGAGCCATGTTCGTAGATGCAGACTACTTGATTGAGGTTCGCACGACTATTGTAACCGATAGTTGGAGACTGTGTGACATGGCTCAGAATCTATCACAATGGCGTAGGTTTATACACTCTGCCTTCCCTTAAACGATGAGATTAAGATTGCTTCATATCTTTCTTTCTGTACTATATCCTTTTATACAGTCTTTTATATATTACTGCCGTTGAAGTAACTACTTCTATGAATTCGATGTTCATCTTGTTGTGCAAATGAGGTGTGGCAAATTGCACGGATGCATATATGCGCCTGGTCCTGTGTTGTAACCGTCTGACCGACTCTCATTCTTGTTGTTTTGTGTGGAGCATACATATCTGTGGCCCCCTTGTACCAATATTTATATGTTCAAATATATATATATATATATAATCTGAAATTGCATTTTCAATGCCTAATCTTTTTTATCACCACTAATACTTTCACTATCCTTACTACTGTTTTGAATTTTAAAAAAGAGTAAGGCCGTATGCCAATTTGTAATTGATTTTTTATGCTTGGCTTTTTATCACGTGAATTATCTACCAATTGAAATACGACTTTTCTATTCTCAATTCTGTGCCGATCAATGACGTTCAACTGGTATGAGCAGTCTAACGTCCTTATTGGTCCCTTGTCTGCCTAGCCCTTCCAATTGAGTCCAAGACACCAATTATAGCTTCTGCTATGCGGATCATTTATTTCAAGCATACTCGGTTTAAATACCAGACGGATAGACGGCATTACACCCTAAAATAGAAAATAATGTTTGTACAAGATCAAGCCAAATGTGGCTGTGAACGTGGGAGACAGTAATCAATAAACCGAATATAATTTAGGGACAGTAAATCGTATAATAATAACCCATAGGTCAAAATGAAGCTTATAATAAAATGAATATAGATATACACAATCTAATTACTCAATAGTTAAACAATAAAAATATATATAGAATAATAGGTCCAGGGAGTTACTTGTACTTACGTCTTCACTAGGATATAACAACTACTCTGTTATTTCCTTTGACAATTTTATTTCACTGTACCAATGGAGTATGGCAATTTGATCTAATGCACATATGTTCTATATTGTGTGTAACCGACTGGCTATTGAATGTCATTTCGAAGAATTATGTCAACTGCTTGCATATATTTATTATGTGAATATAATTCTTACCATCGCAGCAGCTTTCATATAATTGTTTCTTAGCTCTAAAATTTTCTGGAAAGATCAAGTTATGAAACTAAGCTAAACGGTACTAATAATTACAATAATTTAGATTTTGTTGGTTCATTCAAGAAAACCCCATGCAAATTCGTCTGAAAACGAATTTTTGCAGGTTTGATTTTGAATAAAAATCTTTGTCGGTTATAGGTAACGTCACCAAGTTTGATTTGATAATTTCGAATAAATTGAGCATTGGGTAGATTGTTATAAATAAATTAATATATTTGTAATATCCCAATGAGTAGAAAAATTAGATTTTCTGGCGTTTCGTGACTTAGTATGAGCCAGTTCTTCAGAGAATAAATAACTAAATTAACATTAATCCAAGCTTAAATACATTTGGTGTTGTTTACATGTATCTTCCCATTGTTATTTAGGACTGCAATTGATCAGCCTCTTGTCGGCATATTTGCATCCTGTGCTGACTGCCTCGACAGCGCCTGAAATCACAAGCTTTATAAGTAAAGATGGATTGTGGCTAGCAATGCAATCTAGGACGTTTGTTTCGTCCTGTTTGGGACTCGTCAGCTGGATGTACCCGCATCTCAGAGTTGACGTTCACTCTGGGACTCGAACCCAGTACCGTTCACTTCAAACGTCATCGCGTTATCCACCCAGCTGCTGAGTCCTGATAACTACCTGCTTGTGCAATGGGGTGAAGTTCAAATTCACTTGGTGTTGTTTACTTATATCTCCCCATTGTGATTTAGGACTGCAATTGATTAGTCTAACGAAACTGCCTTCGCCGATTTAATTTGGAGTCTATCCAGTTCTACGGAATTGTTAGGTGATTTCTTTGTGTACCTAATATGCTCTTTTGCACGAGTCAAGATTTCTCGAGATGACTCTCCAATATAGAATGCATCACATTCGATACAACTTAATTTGTAGACGTACTTTTGTGTAGACATGAATGGGATTTTTTCTATTAATCGAACTAAAGTATTTTGAAGTGGGTTCGTTGTTTTATAATATACATCAATTCTGTGTTGTCTTAAGATTCTTTGGAGTTCTTCTGTTGTGCCATGACGGTATGGTAAAACTGCAGTACCAATCCATGGCATTTCATTCGAATTATTATTACGCACTGAACCGTCTTGTTTTAATATATTTTTAATAATCTTCAACGGAAGTTCATTAACTTGTAAGATACTGATTGCATTCTTTTGTTCTTTTCGTTTTTCCTCTTCTGATGTGGTGATCTTTTTGGCTCTTCTAAAAAGATTCAAGTCTAGCAAGATCTTAGCACTGAAAGGAGGTGCTGAATGGAAGTCAATATAGCGATTAGAGTGTGTAGGCATTCGGTAGATGGATAGATTTAGAATCCCATTTAGATTTCTTCTCACTAAGCAATCTAAAAATGGTAGCTCACCATGTTCATTTTCATTCTTATTCGTGAATGTGATGTGAGATGAAAGTGTAATATTTAAACTTGGATTAATTTTAATTTGGTTATTTATTCTCTGAAAATGGGCTTACATTAAGTCATGAAATGTCAGAAAATCTAATTTTTCTACTGATTGGGCTATTACAAATATATTATTTATTTATCTTTGGCTGTCGTTTTTCCTCTGTTTAGCTTCTCTCACTAATGATATCAATTGAAATATTCGAAAGGTTTGCTAAAACGAGATATTTTTTGTTTACATTTTATTTACTTCAAAATGGACTTTTAATATTCTCAATTTTTATTACTCATTTTTTGTTTAGAACTAGCGAGAGATAAGATTGAAAATTTGCATTTGTCTACAAAAGAATCTCATCATGTTTTGTCTGGGGAGAATAACCAGTGCACTCAAAAAGAATATAATGATGACCATTTAGTAAATCATGACCATCGGAGAGTCGTCGTTGGTGGTATATTCAGTCCTGTGTCCAATCTGTATGAAAAGAAAGGTCTCCTACCAGCCTCTATACGCGTCGAGCTTACACGATTAGCCTGTATTTCTGCATCTGATTGGTTGGCCGTAAGCAATTGGGAGTGTTCACAATCAAGTTGGTTGAGAACTCGAGTGGTGTTAGATCACATTTATAGTACCTTGAATAATACGTACTCGAATTTGAGTAACAGTGACGAAACCGACATTGACTCAGTTCCAAGGAAAAAGACTTGCTTCGCACCAGGCAGTTTTTACCGTGAGTTTTCTATGCTGAAAATGCGATTATAAATTTGCGGGACTTTCGGTGATTTTATGTAAATAAACCTGGAGTTCAATTTGTTCAGTTAAAGTTTTTTTTACTAAGATCACTTTTTTCTTGTAATGTCACGTTCTATAAATACTTTTTACCTACAAACTACTGAAGTTCATAAACATTTAATTTTACCACTTAAACTAACAGTTTCCGAGTCATTGGTCTAGAACTATGTTTATTTATCTTCAAGTCCCAATTTATGTAGGATATTCTCAGTTTTTAATTACTTATTATTGCCCTCAAAACTTAATAGATATGTAATTCAGCGTTCTGACAAGACTAGTTATTCAGCTAGTGTACGTAACCTAGGAAGTATTAAATAGGTTTGATCAGATGTCTTCTCTTAGATTTTACGGCAACTATCAGTTATAAATTGAAATATTGAACGGTAACACTTCATTACAAGTATAATTTTCTACTTGTATCTACAAATTTACGTTTACTTATCATTTGACATGCTAAATGCTTAAAATTAGTGTTTCGTACGTTATCATCTTACAGCTAGTCTGTGTGGATCATATAATATGGTGCTAATTACAGTCTCACTGGGAATATTTAGGACTATTTTGCTGGACAATTTAAGTTCAACCTCATAGCGAGCATAGTTTTTTGAACAAACTTAAATTATCTATCAAGTTAAGATTTCCTTACTTGGTTTATTGGTCCATTGGTTGTTTGTGCTGGTGATAATACTCAGTTGCCCAAACCAAAGTAATTAAAACCAGGTTAGAACCTGTTTTTTGCTGATACAGTTTACTGATGAATTTGTACAAACAGAAAATGTGTGCAGGAATTCCCACTGATTATCTCCAAATGTTTAAAAGCCCATCCATTACTTTTCTATAATTCTCCATAAAATGCAGATTCTTTTTGTCTATTAACGGCACTTTCTTACTGTGTAAACAGTTTACTGAGGATGCTGTACCCCCAAATACCACGTATGGAAAAGAAACCCAGTCTTAACTTCTCATTTCTTTTTAGAGAGATTTTTGCTTAGTTAACGTTAAAGGATTTACGTGGATTCCATTCATTAAATTTCAGTGTATTTAGTCGTTTGATTCTCTGTGCACTTTGTCATGTTAATTATTTCATTATGATTTTTTGTTCAGTGGCAATTACTCAGTTAATAAAACTCTGTAACTGATAATCACTGAACCAAATTAACTTGAATGTAAAATCAATCTTCTTTCGTTTCGTCCAGTAAATCTTAATAAGATTCGTCTCTTACAGTAGCTAGTTGAAAGGCTCTAGAAGCGAGCATAACTATTGCATACGGCATCACAGTTGTCGTTAGAGTTATCGCTGCATATCCTGCTCTATAACAAATATCCGTTTAGAAGAAAACGTCTACTGAAACCAGTTTCGTAGTACCTAGTCGTAGTTCTGTAATAATTTGATGTTTGCAACGACTTTTTAACGTAGAAAGCTTTCTTTATCTCTTCTGTAGTATATTAACTACCTAAATGTCTTACTTTCAATTATATGTACAGTCTCATTTGTCATGAGTACCTTCCTTTAGGTGTATCCACTTATTAGCATTTTTATTTTCTAGCCACCGATCGTTTAATTAACGAAGACCATGAACAAACGAAACTTTTATCACTAGAAGGCATGGCGACTGATCTCTGGCTTAAGAGTTGCTTTCATCATCTTGACTCTCTTATTAATGTTAATAACATAAAATGTAGTGATGACCAAGTACATAATGCTAATGATGATCATTTCAACAGCAATCTCTTCACTTCATCATCATCTGTAGACAGATCATGTTACTGTCGCAAAAACAATACCGCAAACGTTTTGCTATCAAAGCCTTGTGTGAAGTTAGTTTGTGGTGCTGATCTTCTGGAATCATTCAAAACTCCAAATTTGTGGTCAGCAGAAGATGTAAGTTTATGATTATGAATAATATGCCAGTTTGATTTAATTAATCGCCGGGTGCCTATTGTATAGACTAGCGATTTTCGCTATAGAATCACCCTTTAAATACAATGTTCATGAATAAAAACGTTTGGCATTATAGCCCTTTTTCAGTTTGCCAATTGAAGTATCATGATTTACTTACCATATCTAAAGGTATAACATTTTCCGCAAAAACTTTTCATCGTACATTTTTGGGTCAATTGATTTAAACTGTGATTTTTGTTGTTTGGAAGTAATAGCTTGTTAGTTGAAAATTTTATTCAGTTTCCTAATATAATCACGATATTTATTTGTTTGTGGTTTATTGTTGTTTTTACAACTTGTTTATATATGGTCAGATGCATCCATTCTAAGAAAAGGTTGTTATTGATTACTCGTATTGGCTTCTATAAGCTAGATGCCTTAGAAGGGAAACTCAGCATTCATCAATCACAATGTACAATATATCACTATAATCATTAATATTCATTAACTGATGCGTAAGGTTGGCCTTATTTCATAAAATAGCCATATATCTACTAATCAATTTAATTCCATAAAGTTTCTATTAGATTATTTTCTTTTTTTCAGATTGAAACAATTGTTCGTGACTATGGTATAGTTTGTATTAGTCGGCCTTCATATGATCCCTTGAAAATTATCAATGAATCAAATATTTTGGGCAAATATAAGGTAATTTATTTTGCTTTGTTATACAGAATATAATTTGGGAACACTCGTAAAAACTGAGGAAAAATTACCGTAAATGCTTATATGTTTGAATTGTTTTTCCCTATCATTATAGTAATAATATACAGATGACAAAATAATGTAGGTTTAGAATGAATAAAGAAAGAAGTCAGATAGATATTTAATTGGTTTGCTTACAAATCTCTTATTTGGTTAGTGCCTGTAATACCGTCAAGTTATGGATAAAACGAATGCAGACAAACAGTATTTGTGAAGATTTTTGTTCTCCTGCTTATTGATAATCAGGTTTGTATTTACCCAGCCTTTATTGTTAGGGTATGTGACCAATGAACAAGAGAATACGAACCCTTGAAAATTATATCATACCCGTGGCTATATGCACTTAGTATTTTTGCGTTTGATACTGGGTTCGAGGAGGGTTGGGCAACCCCATTCTGTAGAAAAAATCTCGCTAAAAAACGCAAACTAGATTAAACAAATAAAACAATTTTAACTCTGCCCTCCGGGTAGATGGAAGAGTTATGACGCCTCATGATGAAAGTCGAGATTCTTCGGAAGTCATGAAACCCATGTCCTTCTAAAAACCACAGTAACAATTAGTATAGGTACGTGGAATTTCCGGACAATGTGGTAGACCGGGAGGACCATTGAAATAACAACGAAAATGAGGAGAAACAACTTGGAGGTTCTCGGAATCAGCAAAACCCCTTTGGATCCAAACTGGACATCAAAGGTTAGGTGCGGGAGGAGAAAGCTCCACACACTCAGAAAGTTGCTCTAATGCTGTCCAAAGTAGCACGAAATGCACTTATTGGGTGAGAGTCTCATGGATCCAGAATCACCAAAGCATCCTTTTAAACAAAGAAGTAGGGAATCACAATGAATGATATCCAGTGTTATGCACACACTAATGATAGTAACGACGACAATAAAGATCGGTTCTATGAAAGGCTGCAATCAATCATAGCGAAGTGCCCACGAAAGGATCTGACAATCCTAATGGGAGACCTAAACGCCAAAATCGGAATGGACAACACCGGATATTAAGATATAATGGGACGACATGAAATGGGAGAGAGAAACGTAAATAGGGAGAGATTCGGAAATCTATGTGCATTCAAAAAATGGTTATGAGTAGCACAAAATTTCCATAGAAACGCATACACAAGACTTCACTAGTCTCATCAGACCACACCACAGAGAACCAAATAGATCATACTTGCATCAATAAAAAATTCACAAGGTCAATAGAAGACGTGAGAACCAGGAGAGGAGCTGACATAGCTCCAGATCACCACCTGGTTATTATTATTATTTAAACACATAAACACTGTTGATGAACCAGTTGAAAGACTCAGTAGACGCCCAGCTTTCAGACCAACAAGCTGGACTCCGTAAGGGTCAGTCGTGCACAGACCAAGTCGCGACACTACGGATCATCGTTGATCAATCAATTGAATGAAACTCGTCATCATATATCAAATTTCATAGTTGAAAGCATGAGTCAATTGAAGCTAGACCACCGAGGAAAACCTGGAAACACTGGACGGCCGTTTCGTCCCATTATGGGACTCCTCAGCAGTGCGCATCCATGAACCCGCTCTCGCGAGATTCGAACCCAGGACCTACCAGTCTCGAGCCGAAGCCCTTAACCGATAGTCCACTGAGCTGGCATCCAACGGTGTTAATGTGAGAAGCAGTGACCAGTGGAGTGCAAACCACGTCTGTCGTGAGATAGGAACTCACTGATGACAATTGGTGAGTGGTTGCTCAACTTCGTGGATCAGTTGAAGTTAGACATTAACACCGTTGGATGCCAGCTCAGTGGTCTATCGGTTAAGGGCTTCGGCTCGAGACTGGTAGGTCCTGGGTCCGAATCTCGCGAGAGTGGGTTCGTGGATGCGCACTGCTGAGGAGTCCCATAATAGGACGAAACGGCCGTCCAGTGTTTCCAGGTTTTCCTCGGTGGTCTGGCTTCAATTGACTCATGCTTTCAACTATGAAACATACCAAATCTCCACAAAACCCCTTCTAATAATTAATATATCAAATTCCTTGATTGTGAGAAAACATTTGACAGCGTAGATAGGAGAACATGGAAACTGCTTCGACACTAAGGAGTACCTGAGAAAATCATCAACATCATCTGGAATTCATATGACGGACTGCAGTGCAAAGTGGTGCGTAGAGGACAGCCGATAGATGCATTCCAAGTGAAGACTGGAGTCCGACAAGGCTGCTTCCTCTCCCCTCTCTCTTCTGGTGGTTAACTGAATTATGAAGATCACCACGTATGACGTGAATCACGAAATAGATGAACAGTTGGAAATAAATTAAACGATTTGAACTTCGCAGATGACCTGACCATTTTATCCCATACACATCATCAAATGCAGGTCGAGAAAATTAGTGTAGCAGCAGCCTGGGCATCGGTAGGCCTCAACATACACAAGGAAAAAAGCAAGATCCTCAAATTCAATACATAGAACACCAACCCAATCACACTTGATGAAGAAATGCTGGGACAGGTGGAAAATTTCACTTATCTGGGTAGCATCATCGATGAACAAGCAGGATCCGATGCAAACGTAAATGCATAGATTGACAAAGCAAGAACATCATCCACACAGGCGAAGAACATATGAAATTCAAAACAACTTTCAGCTGACAGCAGAGTCAGAATCTTCAGTATGAACATCAAGACAGTTCTACTGTACGGAGCCGCATCTTGGAGAACTACCACAGTCATCATCAAAAAGGTACAAGTATTTATAAACAAATGTCTACGCAAGATACGGAATATCCGTTAGCCGGATACTGTGAGTAACATTCTCCTGTGGAAGAGAATAAACTAGCTCCCATCTAAAGAGGAAACTATGAAAAGTCTATGGAAGTGGATAGGATACATATTGAGGAATTCATCAAAGTGCATCACGAACTTGTAATCCTGAAGGTAAACGGAAAAGAGGAAGGCCAAAGAACACACTGCGTTGAATATTGGGAACAGACATCAAAAGGATGAATAGCAACTGGAGAGGATTGTCCAAGATAGAGCTGGATGGAGAATGATGGTAATTGGTCTATGCTCCTCCATGAGTGGTAACTGTTGTATGTATACTCATCTTTAAACTTAAGATTGTCATATATGTGTATTCTTGGAAAGGCAAAGGTGCAATACATCTAGCTAGTCATCGATTATCAACTTATGTTAACTTGCAGTAAGTAGCAATATGTAATTTACCAAATGCTTTTAATCTATTAATTAAAGATACCCTCATTAGACATACTTCATAACGTAGACGATTTTCAATCATTTAAAGACTTTTAAAACAGTGAGAGTTTAAGAGGACTTCATGTTGACATGTACGTTTATAACCAAGCATAAATCTTCTAAGGTGGTTCAACCGTGCACTGATATCATTATTACTGATAAATGCAGTATTTGTTAAATTATTTTCCAATGTATATCTAACCTTTTTTTAATATTTCACTTAGGATAATGTAAGTTTGGTGATAGATAATTGTCAGAATTCACTAAGCTCTACTTTTATACGTCACGCTTTATCATATGGTGAAAGTGTACGTTACCTCGTTCCAGATCGTACTTTGGAATATATTTATACTCATAAATTATATGGTGCCAAAAAAAGAAGTGTTAATCTACTTGAATCGAAAACTAAAATAGAAATACAACACTAATTAGCAAACATTCCATGTTGCATTTTTCAAACTGTTAAATCATTTGATTATTCTTGATAATATACAATTGTAAATACAACTATTTATATACGTATTGTATATTGGTCATGTTGATTTGACAAAATTTCTAGAAATTGTGCATTCACTTCTTTTTATAATTCTATCCTGTCAAATGATTTACTTGTTACACTATCATTTGAAATAAAGTTGTACAATGAATTTGCTACTCATTTGCCTAATTCAATCATTTCAGTCGTCATGTGTTTCATGCAAATTTCGCGTAACATAGTTTTAAGTAACATTTCACTAAGTGTTATGTGAAATGTAACAACAAAACAATAATATTATCCACACAATAGAAACCAGTGTGTAGAACATGTCTAAGTTGCTACACTTTTTAGTTATACATTAATAAAGAAATATTTTAAATGAGTCAGAAAAAGATAACATTGTTAATGTAATATCTGCATAATTCTTTTTGTTACTAAAAGTGGTGAGTTAAATAATCTAGAATTGAAACAAAATTTTGTTGGGATCTGGGCATTATTCTGTTCTGTACAGCATTTTAAAATTATTGCATTAACTTAACATCTTCACTAAATCATTTTAACAGCATTTTTATTGTATTGTAAATAGATACACATTATCCTAAATCGTAAGAGAAAGAGAAAAAGTAAGACGACACTGTGGTCACGCTCTCAGGTCACTAAGACCACCTCCAACCCAACTTCTTTTTCAGGTACCTCCAGAAGAACCCTTCCACGGTGTAGGCGACCGGGAAGTGATAACCATCCTCATACTTCTAACAGCACTCAAGATCACTATTTTCAAAATCAATCCTCGAAAAACTGTACCTGGTCTACTGAAACCTCGCTCCAAACAACACATTGAAGCATTCAACGTATTCACCATATGACAAATCGACCAGCAGGCTTCCTTGGCGAAAACCCTAGAATTTCTTACCATTAATGTATACTGTGTCTCCAAAACACTCAGTGATATCTACTAATGACTTAAACCGAAGGGTTACAAAAGACCAATGGATTTTGACTAAGTCTATTGCACTGATGGATTCTCCTAAACTCATCTCATCAGGCTCTGAACATAATGAAGAGCGAAAGTGAATCAGATCTAGGTTAACCAAAAGTCTAAGCAACGACCATGAGCAATGGTGGGCAACGTCACCTATGGTGAAGGCGAGATATCCGTCTATCAATTAAGGGACAAGTATACTGTGCAGCAGTTCGCTCTGTTTTACTTTACGGCTGCGAAGCGTGACAATTAGGAGTAGAAGATACTCGTAAGTTGCTAATATTCGGCCACATATGTCTCAGAAATATTGCTCACATCTGCTGGGATCACCGGGTGTGGTTAGACACAGGGTATTAGGGAGGTTGTAGATCTTCACCGACTGAGATGGTTGGGCCACGTGTTACGTATATCTGAACATCGATTACCACGACGCACAATGCTGACTAGTGTTGGGGATAGTTGGAAGAGAGTTAGGGTCGACCAAACCAAAACGTGTCACCAGTCCTTGAAGTCACTAACTTCTCGTTTGAGCCATGTTGGTAAATGCAGACTACTTGATTGAGGTTCGCACGACTATTGTAACCGATAGTTGGAGACTGTGTGACATGGCTCAGAGTCGATCACAATGGCGTAGGTATATACACTCTCTGCCTTCCCTTAAACGATGAGATTAAAATTGCTTTGTACCTTTCTCTCTACGAACTAATTCTTTATTCCTATATTGTTTCCCTATACACAATCTTTCTTCTATATATTACTGCCGTTGAAGTAACTACTTCTATGAATTTGAAGTTCATCTTGTTGTGCAAATGAGGTGTGGCAACCTGGACCGATGCACATATGTGCTTGATCCTACATTGTAGCTGACTGACATAACTTTAGTGGTCTTTTGTTTTAAACACAAACTGTGCAGCATAGTCGTAACTCAATATGGCAATAAAAACACAATATCTTTAGTTGATCATTGAATTTTTTATTAAATTCATAAGTGTCTGTTAAGCATAACGTTTATTCTTAACTGTTGATTGTAACGAATCACTGGAAGTTAGTAGGTAAGCACCTATATAATGTACCCATCCTTATGTTCGCTCCCAAACTTATGTAGACCACAGAAGATCAACAAGTAACATGGAATCTAGCACGGTTTAAAATGAAATTACAATATTTAATGGCATTAATTTTTTCGAAATAAATGAGTTTGTTGATTAAATGTGTTATCGGAGCACTGGTTGTAATGTAGAAGTAACAAGTTTTAGGTAAGTAATAATTATTAGATCTCAAGGATGTATCATGTTTTGTGTATTACCGTCTACTACGATATTAACGAAATTAAAAATGGATAGATGTTAAGGTTGATAAACCAAAGCATCTGAAGTAATGCTTGGACTGAGATTCTTAGGATAACGAGATGACATACAATACGTAGCACAGGACTATGTATCTTTTATTTTCTCTTGCTGATTTCCAACTTGCAACAGATTTTCAGTGATGGGACTAACAGATATTGGTTTTTAGTGCAAATAGGATAAGCTAAAACTCAGTATCAATTTAAGTACTTATTCACCAAGTCATGAATGGATAATCGGCAAACTTTGGAAGATATTCTCCAGTGAGTCAGAATAGTCATTTCGATATATATATATATATATATATATATATATATATATATATATATATATATATATATATATACGTAAATTTATTGTATTGTCCTAATTTTAAGCGTACATTTGACCCACAATAGCTGTTGCCATATTTCTTTTTATTAATAAACTAGTTTTAATTCATAAGCTTGTTTTCGAGATCTATATTTGTAATTTTCTAGTTTTATATAAACTACGAAAGACTAAAAAAAGTACCTCGTAAATAATTTTCAGTAGAAAATCCTACCTTTAAAATAATGGTATGGGGAATTTAATTAGTGTATGCACTTGAAATGTTTGGATTTCATACATTAACCACAGAATTCTTACTTGGTCCTAGAATTTTATTCACCATAATATACTAAATAACAGATTTTCAAGGCTTTGGTCTAGTTCAGAAACATGAGACTTTGTCACCGTTGTTAGACAGTGCTTCTGTATGAGGATGTAATTAACGCGTTCATGTCACTAGGTATCATAAGAATATTTAGACATATTAGAGAATGGGTCAATTACATTTCGTCAAGTTTATTTGGATAGCCGGGTACTAATGTATCTGTCATATTGTGTGGGATGAGAACTTATTCACAGCAGAGGCGTATGTATCAATCTACACACCTATGATGCGATCATTCACCAAACATTCATGAGACCGCAAATTTATAGAATTGCATTGCCTGAAAGATATCAAGTTTTCGTTTAAACCTATTCTGAATAATGAATGACGATTTGTGTACTTGTCATCAATATCATGCTCTAGGTCCGAACCCCGCTCCACCTACTTCAGTTTCGGTAGTCTGGTAGTATCATTAGCTTTCGCATTTAGACTATGGTCTTAACCAAGTACCTGATGCTTTCCAACAAAATCCATGCTTACTACATACAATTGACTTCAAAGTGAAACACACTGTACAGTCAGTCGGTTAATTATAATGAAACAGGTAAGGAATGCAAATGTTTCCATGATTTTACGTAATTTTGACTCGAACAGGTGTAGCTTAAAAAAATAAAGGCGCAACAAGAGACCAAGCCGATGCTGATTTCTTGTTTGATGAAAAGATATTAAGATATGTAAAAAAACATATTTCATCTAGAGGATGAGTACAATTATCGTCGAGCACGGTCAACTGACCGACTTCTACTACGTTCACGTGTTCTGTGTTTGGTTGACATCTTGATTGGATTTGGACCTTTCGTAAACGCCCAATCTACAAGAATTCTTTGACCATTTAGCTCAGAACCATTTAAATGTTCCATAGCAGTAAATGCTTCCTTGAAATTTTCATATTCTACCAATGCATATCCCTGTAATTTAGTTGTAAATAAGATGACTGAACGTACTTTTAAATAACCAGTTCGCCGGTCAAGGTTAAGGTGTATATTTTTGATATCGCCATATTCACAGAATTTATCTCGAATGTCTTCTTCCGTAGCTTCTTCCTGTACATTCCTTACAAACAAGATCCAACCTTCTACGGCTGGTAAGGAAAAATATATATATTGTAAAAACTTACATCTTTGAGGTCCTGATTTTGACGAACCGTCATCTACTACTAGAGATTCATACCCTTCTTTTGTCGTTCCGACTGAGTCTACAGGACTTAGAAACATTAAAAATCATACCAGCTCCGAATCCTCTGCCTTTTCTTTTTTTCGCACTTTCCTTCAATTTCATTAAACCATCTAAAATAAACAAATTGAGTCAGATGAATTTATGCACTTAAAACTGGTTGATTGCATATGCTACATAAACAACAAGAATATCATAACGATAAATAAACAAATGTTTATCTGACATCCTTTCGAAGTGAACACTACTTTTTTAATGCCACGAACTGTATAATAGAGCGCGAGGCATTTATTTTATTTATTTATTTAAACACATATATTGGTACAAAATGGCACCAGGTACATATGCGCCACACAAAATAATGAAAGTAGGAAGAGAAGGGATGAAAAGATAAGGCGGACTGAAATGTAAAACCAGAAGACTCTTTCAGTTAAGAAAGTTAGAACCACTCTTTATGCAGAAAGTAAAAGAAGGTTGCAGCAGGATCGCCACTGGCTTCTATTCTGAGCCATATCTGATAACGTCTCTAGCCACTGTGTTGCACCATCTCTCGGACCCCAGCCAGAGAGTCGTGAAGGACCAACAGAAGCTAGCCCTTTGCAGCTTTCTTTCATGCCACGACACCATGTCATACACTGACCTCCTCTCCGCTTTCTCCAACCAGTCCCAGGGTCGGCAAATAATGCACGACGTGGAAGTCTCTGGGACGACATTCGTAAAACATGTCCAAGCCACCGAAGTCGGTGTTTCAAGATGGTGACACCAATTGAATTATCGTCTCTGCGCCCGAACACACGATGCCGAACCTCTGCCTTACTAACATGGTGTTGCCACTGAATGTCAGCAATCCTTCGGAGACAACGATGATCGAACACAGAGAGACGTCTAACATCCTCAACTCGGAGAGGCCAGGTTTCACAAGCATAGAGCAAAACTGATCTCACCGACGCGTTGTAGATCCGACCTTTTACAGCCAGACTAACATCACGAAGGCGCCGAAGATGGCCCAGATTGACATAAGCCGCTCTGGCTTTCATTATACGTGCATCAATCTCATCACTCACGCCACCACCAGCACTTATATAGCTACCTAGATACACGAACTTCTCAACTACTTCAATCTGTTCACCATCCAGGGTGAGTACAGGATGAGAATCCTGCCAGTCTTGTAGGAGTACTTTGCACTTGGAGGGTGCAAAGAACATGCCGTACCTGCGGACACTGATTGCCAACTGATTAAGTGCGGATTGCATGGCTTGAGCATTATCGCACAGTAAGACAATATCATCCGCATACTCGAGGTCGAGAAGTCGTTCCCCAGGCAACATATCCACACCGCCATTACTTACATCCATCAGAGCTGTTTCCAGGATGTCGTCTATAGCAAAGTTGAAGAGGAGTGGTGAGATCGGGCAACCCTGCCTAACCCCACTGCTCGAATGAAACAAGGGAGAAAGGTGGTTGTATGCCCTCACTCTGCCTGAGGTGTTCGTATACAGGGCCTTTAAGATGTTAATGAACTTCTCAGGCACACCCTTCTTCAATAGACAATCCCAGAGAACAGTCCTGTCCAACGAATCGAAGGCCGCCCTGATATCAAGAAACACTACGATTGTTGGCCTGCGATAAGTATGACGGTGTTCTAACATTTGGCGGAGGGTGAAGATGTGATCAATGCATCCTCGACCTGAACGAAAACCAGCCTGCTCCTCGCGAGTCAAACGTTCTCGGGTTTTAAACAACCTACGAAGAATGATAGAAGCCAATAGTTTGGACGCCATCGAAAGTAGACTTATCCCCCGATAGTTATTGCAGGAACAACGTGAACCCTTTTTAAAGATAGGGACGACTATCGACTCATTCCATGATGTTGGAACACTTTCTTGTTCCCAAACCTTTCCAAACAACACAGTCAATTCCTTAACCAGAAGGTCACCACCATCTTTAAAAAGAGCCGGAGGTAAGTCATCTGGGCCCGGTGATTTGTAACGTTTCAAGAGTTGGAGTTCCTTGCGGAATTCCGCCTCGTTTGGTGGATCAGTCGTCACCGGCCATGGGGGGCAGGACAAGCTGGTTGATGTTGCCGGAGCAGCAGGCCAGTTGAACTGCCCTTCGAAGAATTCCACCCATCGTCCAAGACGTCGAGCGCGAGGAACGGTATTTTTCTGATACTATTATCCTCTAAAACTATTATTTTAGGTTATAAAAAAGTATCGAACATATTGAAAGTCTCTACAGACCTGTTGCGACTGGAATTGATCAACTGTCACAATTGAAACAAGAATGAAGTATAGTATTTATGAAGGCGTTTGTATCCCCGCATGGTGCTTACATCCAATAAGTTAGCTACAATGTAGGATCAAGCACATATATGCATCGGTCCAGGTTGCCACACCTCATTTGCACAACAAGATGAACTTCAAATTCATAGAAGTAGTTACTTCAACGGCAGTAATATATAGAAGAAAGATTGTGTATAGGGAAACAATATAGGAATAAGGAATTAGTTCGTAGAGAGAAAGGTACAAAGCAATTTTAATCTCATCGTTTAAGGGAAGGCAGAGAGTGTATATACCTACGCCATTGTGATCGACTCTGAGCCATGTCACACAGTCTCCAACTATCGGTTACAATAGTCGTGCGAACCTCAATCAAGTAGTCTGCATTTACCAACATGGCTCAAACGAGAAGTTAGTGACTTCAAGGACTGGTGACACGTTTTGGTTTGGTCGACCCTAACTCTCTTCCAACTATCCCCAACACTAGTCAGCATTGTGCGTCGTGGTAATCGATGTTCAGATATACGTAACACGTGGCCCAACCATCTCAGTCGGTGAAGATCTACAACCTCCCTAATACCCTGTGTCTAACCACACCCGGTGATCCCAGCAGATGTGAGCAATATTTCTGAGACACCTGTGGCCGAATATTAGCAACTTACGAGTATCTTCTACTCCTAATTGTCACGCTTCGCAGCCGTAAAGTAAAACAGAGCGAACTGCTGCACAGTATACTTGTCCCTTAATTGATAGACGGATATCTCGCCTACACCATAGGTGACGTAAGTTGGCCAAAAAAGCTTTCTGAATCTGTACAGAGATTTCGTCAGACACCAACCCATTAGGGCTGATTAGACTTCCAAGATAAGTGAAGTTGTCGACGCGTTCGACTACTTCACTCCCTATCTTTAGCTCAGGTGTTGACGCAGGCCAGTCCTGGAGCAACAACTTGCATTTAGAGGGTAAGAAACGCATTCCGAATATCCTGGCATTGTTACTCAGTGCCAACAGAAGATTGCATTTTATCAACGTCTTCACCAAACAGGAACAGGTTTCACAAGCATACAGCAAAACTGTTCTCTCCGACACGTTGTAAATTTCCATCAGTAGGTCTATGACGAATTGAAATATATATGAAGATATCTATGCCAAACAATAAATGAAGAAGGATTAATTGTGAATACTTAAATCAGATGTTACATACAACAAAAACACTTTCTGTGATGTAATCAATAGTGAAGTCTACATGTACATTGTGTTCGAAGTTCCTATGATTTTCTAAATCAGTCATTTATGACGAATATTTGACTTTCAAAGACATGGGCAAAATCCACTTACGGTCGCCGTCTGCATCTTCTTCAAAGTCATTCTCTCCATGTAAATCCAATACATCAGCCATCCTAATAGATAGCAAATGGTCAGTGTAGCAAATCAATTGTTTTTCGCGCTGAAAATATTGTACTTCGCCAAAAAAGAGGACCTAATTAAGAAAAAGTGCAAATATTTTATCTTACAGCACATATAGTTTTCAAAAATTTCAAGATATAAGTAATTAAATTATTTGTTGGGATTTTACTGATATAGATAGACCAACTTGTTCTTTTTTTTCAACTTCAGTCAGAAGGCAATCGACATTTTCGAGGTATACTAAGCATTTATTTAATCCAACTTCATGTACAGCACAATGGCTTCAAACTGTTTTATGACTTTGTCACTAAAAATCAGTCCAAATTTTACACACATCTAATAATACAAACGAACTCTTACATATATTAATCGGTGACAGAAAATGTACCAGCTCAGTGATTTATTGATCTAACTTGTTTATACGCTTCTTCCAAACGCTCCCTCTAGCCATCTCTAATTAGCAAGTTCTGCTCATTGACTCTGCCTTCCACATTGTGGAAATGAGGAAAATCTAGTAAAACCCTTCCATCCCTCCGCTGACATCAGTCAGTTGAGGACATTTAACTCTTGCAACTATCACCCTGGTACTGCTGAGAAATTGTCTTCAGTCTTCGGTAATAAGGAGAGGAGGTCTACTGACCTCTTTAATCCTTACAGTTTGTTACGCTGTGGAGGTCCAGTCTCGTTTTGAATATATGAACAGAAGGTGCTGATATTACGTCTTCTGGTAGAGAATTCAAGTAATTCACTACTCGGTGCGAGAATCGAAACTCAAGACGTAGACGATTTGATCTCGGTTTTTGGACTTTCTTCGACTGTCCTGTCAAATGATCAGTCCTTGATGGAAAGAAAAGATAGAGCATGTTAGTACCAAGGTCATCGTTCGTATACTATATGCCAGTGTTAGATCACCTCGCATTCGCCGGTAAGATAACGGAAATAAGTTGAGGTGTCTCAGCCTGTCTTAATAAGATAGACCAGATGGACCTCTAACCATTTCAGTCTCTCAACGTTGGACTCGTTCCAGCATATCCGTCTCATATTTGAAATAAGTACTCGCTGCTTGAATACCATATTCCAAATGTGGTCGTACGAAAGTCGGGTATAATAATCTAACAATTTTTTCATCCAAATGCTGGAAAGATCTACGAATAGACCATAATAACCTTTGGCTTTTGCAGCAGCAGCCTTACAGTGACTGTTACTCTTGAGATCATTGCTTAATATGACTTCTAAATCCTTATAGTTTCTTACTTTGTGTAACACGAATCCCCATATTGTGTAGCAATACGAATCATCATAGTTATTTAATTGCATCATCACACTCTTGTTAGGATTCAATTCCAGTGACCACCCGTTCATCCATACCACTAATGAGTTGAGATCAATTTGTAATACCATTCTGTCTGATATACTGTATATGGGCCTCCAAATGCTTGTGTCATCGGCGAAGAGTATAATGGATGACTTAGCTAAATTTGATAATTCATTTACATGAAGTAAAAAGGGAAGAGAACCGAGAATTGTGCCTTGGAAAGCTTCACTTTTTACTGGTTCCCTCGATTAAAGAGCTCCATTTACTCTTACTATGTCTCCTGTCATGAAGAAAGTCACTTATCCAGTCTATGAACGCATAATCAATTCCAAAAATTTCCAGTTTTATTTTAAGTCCAGGATGGAAAACGTTATCAAAGGCTTTACTTAGATCTATGTAAATCAAATCTACAGGAATATTGCGATCTTTTGCCTCAGCCCAATCTTCTCTTGCGACGAAAAGATTTGTCAAACATGATGGGCCTTTCCGAAAACCATGTTGTTCTCTGGATAAAAGATCATGTCCTTCCACATAGTTTATAACAGCCATCCGAATATTTTTTCCATCAGTTTTGCAACTGCACTATTTAAGCTGGTAGGTCGACAGTTACTAAATAAATCTCTAATCCCATCCTTATACACCGGACTAATTATCGCGTCTTTCGAGTCTCTGGGCAATCTGGTCTGCCTAAGGGACATATCAAACAGTATCCTTAAAGGTTCAGCAATTACACCTCATAGGGCTTTCATAATCCTACGATGAATATCATTAGGACCACTGGACTTATCAGGTTTAAGATTCTAAAGTAGTCTTAAGACAGTATTTTTCCCAATAACTACAGGGTCCATCAACAATTTGCCACAATCACAATGAATAGGTGGTCGTTCCTCGTTCTTGATAGAAAAACTTTACTGAAATTTTCCGATAAAGCTATAGTTTTTTCGATATCATTTCTTGCCAATATTAGCGGATTTTCTGGTACCAAAAGTGATGGGATTCCATCACTTATCTGATTTCGCCTCTTTATATGCGAGAATAATCGTTTTTGGATACATCTACAATCTCTAACCAATTGCTTTTCATATGACCGTCTAGTCTTACTAAATAACGCTTTATAAGTATTCCTAATCTTATAATAACTGGATCTGTATTGTTCTAAGCCAGTGGAGATGAACATATTCCAGTGCATTTTCCTACGTCTAAGAAGTTTCTTGACTTGTTTATTTATCCATGGTGGACTATTATTCGGTCTACATGGTACCAAGCATGGTATGAACGGGGATGTGAGTGCACTAAACTTGCCTTTAAATATAGACCATGCCTCTACAACTGATGATCTGATATCTACTGACCAATCTGTCTTAGCGACACACTCCTGAGTGGCTGATATGTTAGCTCTCCATATGTTTGGGCGAGGCTTAACCTGATCGTATATCACGTCAATATCTCTAAAGATCAATGAAAAGACAGCGTGATCTCTATTCACTCACGTGGGAAGAATATTTAGACTGGCAATATCCTCAATCTCATGAGTGAATACCAAGTCCAACAGAAAACCTTGGTTTACACCAAAACGAGTACATTTGGATACATGCTGTACTAATGCCTGCTCCATTACTGTTACCAGGATCCTACTATCAAAGGAGTTTTTAGAGCCTTTCGTGCTCATCTCAGTCAAACTAATGTCAGGTGCATTGATATCTCCCAATATCAAGCATCCGATATTTGCACTCCATAACTGAATGTGCTCTAAAATAAAGTCATTAGCTAAGCAGATGAGGCTGCGATAGATGACACCGAGTACAAATGTACAATATCTGATAGTGAGCTCACAGCTAATGACTTTACTATTTCCACTATCATATAATTCGCAAACGGAGGAGCGGATATTTATATTGTTGGCTATGTATCGTAGGACGCAACCTCCTTTCCTGCATCTATGCCTATCACTTCCTAAACAATGGTATCCGGATACTTCTGGGGTTATATCAAAGTCATGGACTAACCGTGTTTCCGTCAAAGCTACAATGAGTGGCCTTAATTTGTCCACTAATGCTTCCAGTTCATAGAATTTATTATTATTATTATTATTATTATTATTATTCACAAACACCTTATGGTTACATAAGTGCTGTGAAGAAACCATTTCGGGTTTCTTCAAAAATGCAATAATACACAATTTCCAATAATGTTAGCATTACATATGCCATGTTTGAGAAAGGAAGGAAAAGGAAAATAAAAAAATAAAAAAAAATAAAAAAATAACTTATCATTGCGGTAAAATATAACGTTAGAATAAGTGTTTGTGCGTGCAGTCATCGTTTTGGTTGATGCTATGAAAGTCTCAATTAAGTGCAAAAGATAATCAATATGTATGAGGTGTATATACATAGTGAAGAGAAAACGAGTCTGATAAGTTGAATTCAACGTAAATCAAGTTATTGTCTTAATCCAAAGCTTCGTAATCTTAAGAATAATATTTATTTAGAATGAAAAAAGGGGAGAGGGAAAAGAAATAAACACAGTGAAAGGGTCCAACCATGATCATAATAGTGTAACGGTTATAGACTTTTGAGATAAACGAATAAGTTAAAAAAATAATAATAGTAACAACAACAACAATAGTAACGACAATAATAAACCTTTACTGTACTCGGATAAATACGTGTAGATTTATGTGAAAGTTGTGGTGGACCTCAGCAAAAGAGCTTAGTTGAAATATAACAATTCGCAACGTTACCAACAATATACCAAAAGAATTAACACTACGAACCTAAGCGTGTGTCTATGATTAACGCGAAAGGTAACAAATTACAGTTAAATTATAAAAAGGTATATTGAACAACAAAATGGTAACAGTGTTATGAAATGAATGTTACTTGTAAGCTGCTTTCTGAGATAACAACCACAAATAAGTTCACTTGGTTAACAAAGATTCCTCTGCACGTGATGGCACCAACAGCAAAATGGAGAAGATTAGATCCAGTAGTATTATTCAGTAATGATCCCGGCCAAAACACCAACGTAGTGTGGAATGGTCTAAAAAGATGTTATAATACTATTATAATCTTCAATCAAAGGCCGTGGCCGTTAAAGCAGAAGAATAGACGGCGGATACAACGCTTATATTTTAAGAAGCGCGGTAGTGAAGAAGTGTTATATACAACCAAACAAAAGTATTCGTTTCTTTACCATTGATACAGAAAAACAATAGATATCGAATATGAGTGTGATTACATAAAAAGTGTGACAACTAGGAAAAATATGTGACCTTTAATTTGTTGTTACAAAAAATCACTAGACATAAATGTCACTATACAGTATACACAGTGAAACCGGGTATTAGTATAAACATTAGTGCAATAATAATTTAGAATGATGCTATGATAGTCACAATTAATTGCAAAGAATAATTAAATATAAATTTCTGTATGTTATATATATATATATGTTGTGAAGATTAAAAAAATCTGAGACTATTTGTTTAAGTGTAACATGGGGTTTTTTTAATTGTAGACTTTGGATGATTAGGAACATAATATGTTTAGAAGGACAAGAAGAGATGAAAACAATATCTGATGTGTCGAGGTACCAATAATGATACGAATGACAGTAATAATTATAAATACGAACATAAGCAGACTTCATATATTAAGATGAATAAAAGTGAAATATAATAGACATGAAAAGTTTCAAAGGTATCTGTTATATACTAGGAAACAGTAAGTACTGATAACTTACGGGACCTCTTATTAGACTATTAATTTATTTCTATTTCTATGGTATAACTATTCAGTAACTGGATAATCTATATCTATATTCATCTTATTACTAGCTTCATTTTGACCTATTGATTATTACTATATGATTTACTGTCCCTACGTTATGCTCAGCTTTATTGATTATTGTCTCCCACGCTTACAGC